AAGAAGGAGGTTTGGCGTGCTGTGTGCCGTGCGTGCGTGCGTGGATGTGGCTGGCTGGCTGGCTGGGTAGGGAAAAAGGAGAACGAAGAGATCGTCGAGTGAGATAGGTAAGGAGGTTGCAAAGAGTGCCAGCCAGCGAGTGGTCAAATGTGGCGAAGATTGTGGGGGAGGTATGCGTGTATGTGGGGGGGTGTGACTTGCGGGCTACATGCAGTTGAGACGTGGCTTGCGTGGCGATGGGTGTTGGGGGTGGTGCAAAAAAAAAAGAAAATAATTGTTAACCGGAGCAAGGGGGAAGCGAAGATTGTACAAAATTGGGAATGAAACGAGTATCAAAGTAATTGTTGTTCTTGATTTGATCTTCAAGGACGGATTTCGCTCCCAGTTTAGAAGGCAAAGGTGGCTGCCGAGACGCCCCGCGCTTGTCGGTCCTTCCGTGAGCGCTATAAAAAACAAGAGAAAACAAGGTCAGTTATTTACGAAGCGTGATCATTAGACGAAGGAGGAGGGAGGATAACGAGAGCGAGTGAGACAGAGCCGAGATAAGTGCAAGGCCTGTAAGGGAGGATGAAGCGAGGTGTGATCACCAGACATGGATGTGGCAATGATGGGGTGACAGAGGCAAATTGGAAAGCAGAACCAGAGAAGAGCACGGGGGTAGTGATGGAAAATTTGAAAATAAAGAAAGAGGGATAATAGAGAATGAAAACAGGTACACACGTTCATGATGAGGCCGCTACGCCCGGCGCCTGATTGTAGGCTAGAATGGAGAGGTGATGGATGAGGAGGACCATTGAAGCCGTGTGGCTGGGATCCACCAGAACTCCGTCTCCTACCCATCGACGGGCGGTTACCATGATAGTAGGCTGACCCATCCTCATTATCATCATCATCGTCGTCGTCGTCGTCGTCGTCGTCCGACTCTGAGTCCGAGTACCGTGTAAAACTGCGTTCGGGGTGCTCAAAGCCTGGAGTAGTACTGTTGTTCCGAACGGGACCCATGGACGAGTTGGACATGCGTTTGACATTGCCTTGGATTACTCGCCGCAGCTGTGAATAAAGAAACACATGGGGTCAGAGGTCAGGTCACGAGACACGAGACCATATCGGGGGAAGAGAGAGGAGAGCAAAGATGGAAGGATCTTGTGCAGTGCAACTGATTTCATGCCTCTCTTCACTAAAAACGAGGGCAATGACTAGGTCGATCGGAGAAGGGGGAGCAGGGTAGGGGAAGGAGGGTTTAGTGGGTGGGTGGCTAAAGGTCTACTCACCAGCTCATCG